TGGAGAAAGTGAAGTCATTTTCATGTCAGGGAAACTTTTTCTGTCAGCTGAATTTCTTTGATACGAGAGAACAAGTTTGAGTGACTGCAGCTATTATCAGGAGGTGTGTTTACCTGAACATAAGGACTCCATCACTGTGACACACACTCACCTTTACAGTTTAAACACTTAAAGATCAGCCGGTGACAGAGATGAACGTTTCTGCCACAGTGTGCACAGTATGTCCTAAACTTCATAATCGGAAAATCGAAAAATTCAACTGTTAAGAGTAAGAATAAGAAGAACTTGATTTATCCCTGAAGGGAAATTTAATTGTCTGTAGTCTAATTTGTCATGTCTCAAAAAGTCATAGTTATGGAAAAATAATATAGTCTGATGGCCGTGGGTACAAAGGATTATCATATTATACATTATATTAATATTATTATATTTATAGTATATTTTACTTTAAAAATGGTGTTCAAATGAATAATTCCCTCAAATCACCAGTTTAGACACGTCTCTAGAGTAAACACTGCTTCATAAAATTACTGCTGTCATGCTTTTATTTTTATATTTTCTTTGTCTTGCCTTTGTACGCATTCTATAACTATGCTTTTATTTTGGATTGCTATGTCGTCAAATAATCATCTCTCAAAAAGCTGCTACAGTGAGACTGCTAGCAGCTGCTTCTTCTTCATCTGTTTTATGTTTCATGCTTTTATTTTGATGTTTTATCTGTTTTTCTTTTGTATGTATCATAGGATTACGCTTTTATTTTGAAGTATGCCACGTCTGGTAGATCCTAACAAACAGAACAGACCAAACTACTTCTTGTTGATTTCCCGGGTGTTAGCAATTAGCATCGCCGTAGCTACATGGCTTCTTCCAGCTGCAGCACTGCGCAGGCGTGTCTCTCAGCCAATCGGTGGAGATTACCTGCATTAACCGCTCGTCTGAGAGCCTGACATTGGCAGAATGAATCGACTATAATCAAGCCTAAATTAATTCATCCAATCGCTGTTTAGATGGGCAGGTACGGACAGTAAGCTCTGGGCTATGATTGGCCAGACTGAAATGTCAGTCAGTTTGATTGACATTTTTATGGTTCAATCAGAAGGAAATGTTCGCTGTGTCAGCTTGTGGAGAACTTTATAAAAACACAGGCTGTGTCTCCAAATCCAAAAACAGCAGACAGTCAGCTCAGGCTGTATGAGAGCATGATCTCTGAACTCACTAAAATCTGTAAACCAAACATTATAGATTTAGAGACGAAATGACCCGCTCTGCTTCAACTATCAAAAACATTAGAAATAAGAAAGCTGACAAAACTACAGCAGAGGATCAGGACAACATCGAGTTTTTTTTTTTTTTTGCTTTAAAGATTTAGAGATTAAAGTTGTAAATTTAGGAGAATAAAGTCATAAAGTAAATACAGTCATAAAGCTGCTTTTGTGGAGGGGGAAATGACTGAAGCTGGTCATCTGCAGGGTTATCTGTGGATGTATCAGCGGGTCATTCAGAGAGATTTTGTGGTTTCTGAAGAAACAATCAAACTGATGATGATCAACATTTGTGATCCAGAGGGAGTCGAGCTCAGACGAGCATCATGTCTCTGACACCGGCGGTAACCTACACCTGCAGAGACACCAACACCTTATTATGGCATATAATAATAACCCCCCGCCATCTTCATGCTGTGATTTATAAGGTTTCCTGACATGCGTCACACTTGGTTTTGCAGTATGAAGTTATTCTTTGTCTTTGTTTTTGGACTCAGATGTGGTTTCAGAGCAGCAGAGATCGACTCCCTTTTTCCTGCTAAATAAATCAACAAGAGACTTTTGTACTGGGTCAGGTATACGACCTCCATTTGAGCCATTTTCACTCATGCATTTTTGGGCACCCCTTCTGAGATGATGAGATACACCCTGAAGAATGTGTGTACCAAATTTGGTGCTTTTATCCACCGCATAACAATTTGGCAATTTTTTCAAGTGAACAGACCCTACTATGAGGTGGTGTGTTCGAGCCTTTTTCGGGACAAGGTGAATTTTGAAGTCTAGTGTCTAGACAGGAAATTGAAAGAGGAAACAAGTGGTATAATCCTGTGTCTCCAAGTGGCTCAGAGGATAAGAACACTGACTGGGATTCCTGAGGCCACAGGTTCCAGTCCTACCTTGCCCAGTTCTAAGTGAATTTTGAAATCTAGTGTCCACAAAGTACAGTGATATATGAAAAAAAAAAACATGATGGTCTTCTGTGTCCACATGGCTCAGGGGATAAGGAGACTCACTGGTACTCCTGAGATCGTGGGTTCAAGTCTTACCCTGTCCAGTTCTAGGAGAATTTTAAAGTCTCGAGTCCACAAAGGACAGCGATATGTGAAAAAAGAACCCAATTCTCTTGTGTGTCCACATGGCTCACAGGATAAGGAGACTGACTGGGACTCCTGAGGTGGTGTGTTCGAGCCTTTTTCGGGACAAGGTGAATTTTGAAGTCTAGTGTCTAGACAGGAAAGTGAAAGAGGAAACAAGTGGTATAATCCTGTGTGTCAAAGTGGCTCAGGGGATAAGAACACAGACTGGGACTCCTGAGGTCATAGGTTCGAGTCCTACCTTGCTCACTTCTTGATGAATTTTGAAGGTCTAGAGCAGGGGTCTTCATATAAATTTTCAGTGGGTCCACCTGAATGAAATGCCTGCAGGCCTGGGTCCAGGGATTTTTATTTATTTATGTTTTTACAGTGCATTACTCTTTTGAAATATTCACTTAATTTGTATTGCCAATAACTGCCTACTTTCAATTGGCTGTGTGCTTCCTGCGGGTGAAATGAATGCAAATGACTCGGTCCACTCGCCATAAAACACCCTGTTCTCATTCTGTACCTTTCGTGGTTTTTAAGCATGTTCAGCTGCTGCTACAACTTTCTCCTCAGTCTGCCACCTGACAGTTTTCAACATCGGGATTGCTTTGTAATCTTCGTGTGTCGAGTAGGCTAAGAGGTCTGATTTGATTGACAAGTCAAGCGAGTAAGCAAGTAATGTAATGCCTTGATGAAATTGCACGTGCAGTTTACTGAACCAGGCACAAAGCAAGAGAGTACGGCTGCACGATATTGGAAAAAACTAACATGGCGATTTTTTTCAACCCTGCGATATATATTGCGATATAAAAAATATAGGAGTTTTCACCAGATGACCTGAATAGCATTTAATGTTATACTGCACTGCTGAAGTCTTGAGGACAGTTAACCTGCTCTGATCTTACATCTTTTTGTGAAAATTTGGATTGGCTTCTGTCTGTCGCAGAGATATTTTTAGCTTTTATTGTTCTGGGACGTTATTGTGGCGACAGATGAACACAGAACACGTGTTTTGGTCGACATCATCCTTCTTTTAACCGAAATAATTCCAGATAACTAACTTTCCTTTTTTTTTTTGGCAACAAATATTCATTTTCGTTGGTTTTCTCTTGTTCGTTGCTCATTTTGCAATGTTGTTGTTGTTAGCGGTGTTGTGCCGAGAAACGCATGTCCTCCGAGAATTGCATGCACCTCGCAAAACGCGCACCGCTTATAGTAGAGTGGTCCACGGAAATATACATTTTAAAACCCATACAGTTCTTATTTGTTGGGCTTAACAGTCAGTAAAGTTCCCAGAGTAATTCTCAGCGGACACGCGTCTCACTCCATGTGCAGAACATGTGCAGGGGTGGGTTTCCTCCTCTCTGATTTTGATAGACAGCTGGCATAGTAGTCTGATTGGCAACTGAGAACTGAGTCTGATTGGCAACTGAGTAAAGGACAAAGGTGATTGGTGGATCGCTGCAAAGCACATGCAGAGTCACATGCAGTGTATCTCAGTCAGCTACCCTTGAAATTAACTGAGTTCATTCACCTCCGACATCGCAGGCTCTGCGATGTGACTATCTCACACACGTATATAGTGCAGGCCTACAAGAGAGAAAAAAAAACATACATTTTTCTGCGGTAGGCCCGGTCCGCCATTATTGCTTATTGGGGACGTCCTCTGCTCAGCCCCCGGCCATCCGCCGCAGCGGCGGATGACCAACGCCTGACCAACGCCCTTTAATCCCCCCGCAACACTTCTCCCCATCCTGGGGGGGGGGGGGGGGGGGTAACCCCACACCCCTGGGCTGAGAGGGTTTCGAACCGGGAGCCGGTCTTCAACCAGAACACATGGCTCACATTAGGGTGGTAGATGTCTACCACACTGCGCCACCGGAGACCATCCACAGTTGGGGATGAGCTCTGCGTGGTTTTATCTTGGTACTTTTGCTCCTGGACTTTAAAGACACTAGACTTCAAAATTCAACTTGTCCCGAAAAAGGCTCGAACACACCACCTCATAGTAGGGTCTGTTCACTTGAAAAAATGGCCAAATTGGCAGAAATGAATATGCTGAGGCAGCCGTAAATATCCGTGAATGACATTGAGCTTTAATTTATGATATTAATCCATATGCCATAATAAGGTGTTGGTGTCTCTGCAGGTGTAGGTTACCGCCGGTGTCAGAGACGTGATGCTCGTCTGAGCTCGACTCCCTCTGGATCACAAATGTTGATCATCATCAGTTTGATTGTTTCTTCAGAAACCACAAAATCTCTCTGAATGACCCGCTGATACATCCACAGATAACCCTGCAGATGACCAGCTTCAGTCATTTCCCCCTCCACAAAAGCAGCTTTATATACTTTATGACTTTATTCTCCTAAATTTACAACTTTAATCTCTAAATCTTAAAAGAAAAAAAAAACTCAATGTTGTCCTGATCCTCTGCTGTAGTTGTGCCAGTTTTCTTATTTCTAATGTTTTTGATAGTTGTAGCAGAGCGGATCAGTTCGTCTCTAAATCTATAATGTTTGGTTAACAGATTTTAGTGAGTTCAGAGATCATGCTCTCATACAGCCTGAGCTGATTGTCTGCTGTTTTTGGATTTCTTGTATTTCCTTTACAGACGCGCTGTGTCTCCAAGCGAGTCCAGCCTCTCACCCATAGACTGTATATAAGATGGACGCCGTGGTTCCGCCTTCCGCCTGTATACGGATTTGAAGCCAAAAAGCTCTCGGTAATTCCGGGTTCCTTGCAACCAGAGCTGCGCAGTAGCGTTGTACGCAGACGTTTTTGGCTGGACGGGAGACTCGGCGCGATGACGTTCCGCTCAAAAAGTGCCCCCCCCCGGATGTCCTTCCAGCCTTACATCGGTATCGCTAATAGCTTCCCCGCTCGTCGCGACCAAGAATAAGTAAGTTCCACTTCTCCTGATATAATATGAAATTTGTGAGCGTACTAACTTTTAAGAACATAAAATACCATCATAACTAATACGAATAAAGATATCATCTATTACTTGATTGGAAGTAAGTCATCTCTCTTTGTTGAAAGAAACGGTGTAAATGTAAGCTAAAGTAGCATTGCAATTTAACACTAGCCTTGGTAAATTAATCAGCAAAATACGTGATATTTTTAGTTTATCAGTTGTTAAGATATATGCTATTGTCCTGTGATTAAAAATGAACAAAATTCTGAATGAACAGCAAATATTTATGTTGTTCTCCTTTTTTTAGACAAAGAGAAAAGAAGCTTCAAAGATGAGCACAACATCAGCCACTGTGACCAGAAGTAAGGATAAAAATTCATTGAGATGGATGCTGATTTAGTTGGATATGATTTTAGTCAGACTTTTATTAGGTAATGTTATAAATATTTTTTTTTGTGATGTAACAACAGCAAGCTCAAGTTTTCAATTCCAAATGATATCTACTGTAAAAAATATTAAACAGCTTGTGATTCAGCATGATGTGGAATCATGCTGAATCACAAGCCATGCAAGGTTTTGTAGGAAAATGACTTTTTTTTTTTCTTTTATTGTTCAATACATTTACAGAAATTAAACAGCAGGACCTCCAGGATCTCCATCGGCAGTTCCCCACCGTGAGGATCATCTTCTCTGCCATCACTCAGAGGAACCGATGGAGATACAGCCCCAAGAAAATGGACAAAGCCAGGCGCTATGTGAACAGTGTGATGGCTACTTTTGTTTCATCTGTTGGAGGAAGCATTGTGCATCATCCTCAAATAAAGCACAGAGATCAGGGCCTTATTTTAAACTAATGGAGTTCATTTCACCACTTTGGGTAATGACATTTTTTTAAATAATAGTGCCTTGTGTTTGAAAGACCAAATCTAGTAGGGTGGTGCTAGATTTGGGATTTCACCTACAATAGGCAGCAAAAAATGGTCAGGATTTATCTGCTTTATTTGTGATTGATGTGCACATTTTGTTTAATTGTTTACACAAGCACAATTTTGTGAATTTTGTTTTACAAAGGTAACCATCACACTGTTCAATTCTGTCACAGCTCTTCCTCCTTCTCTCTCTCTCTCTGTCTTACAAACCTTCTGCCATACCCCAGCCATTCCACCCGATGGTCTTCCTCAAGGCGACGAATGTAGCAGGGGATGTTTTTTATTGTTAGAAAAATTAAATTAATGTTGAAACTTCACATGCTTTTCTGTGATTTGTTGTACCATGATAAAGTTTTCTGATTTACAGCACAGATGAAAAAACACAGTATATGCTTTATTATTCCAGAGTATTTGTCTCAAAATTTTATTTTTCATGTAAAGCTATCAAAAGAAAAAAACATACCACAACAAAGTCAATGCATTTCTTATGTACTCATCATCAAGTGATTAACAAGAAAAGAGCTTAACATCAGTCCTAGTATTCTTGCTACTGGTGCAATGGTCAGATAAGACAATTCAAAAAGGCTGTAAAGGACTCACACACAGAAAGATGGGAAAGACAAATGTCTCAAAAAAAGTTGGATCCATTTTATTCCTAGCAATAAAATGGATCCAACTTTTCAAGACATTTGTCTTTTCCATCTTTCTGTGTGCGAGTCCTCACCATGAAGTGGACAAAGTGTGGTAAAACTGAAAAAACAAACTGACGATATGTGTAGTGAACAGCATGTAATTAATGTAAATCAGATAGCATGACATGGACACTTGTGAGAGGACACTAGCATTTTAGTATTTATTTGTGATTTATAAATAATTAACTCCTTTGCAGAAAACCTGTATGTTTGTTATTTTACCAGGAACTTAAAAAGATATAATCTAGTACTTTGGGAGTTGCATTGGGTGGAAAGGAAACAGGCTGCAGCAGATGAATCCACCATATCATCAGTGATTGGTGATGAAGTCTGAAAAACACAAAGAAATTCATCAATTAAATTGTGAATACCAGCACTTACATTCATTAAGACACTTATGTCTCAAACCAGGTGGTAGCTCAGCATGAAAACTTTAGAGGTTTTGATATACTTGTCCAATTATTTAAAAGGTTTCATTTAGTTAGCATTCTTAGAGACTACTACTTGGCTAGTGTTGTTACCTTTATCTAACAGGGCACATTTGGTCTAAGCATAAGAAGTTGTTCATGTGGTATCACTCAAATTTTTTTTTGCAACATGATTCCTGTTTTTTTTACTCCAGGCTGCGCCAACTTAAACTGAAAATGACTGATGACACTAACTAATAATGACCAGTAGATGGTAGCAGACACTACAACTACATGCAAATACCTAAATTCAGAAAACATAAAAACAGCAGTAATTTAAAATGGAAACACAATAGTTGTAGTGTTCAGCTCTTGGGAATGTTTAAATAACCGCCATTTTATGATTCAAAGTGTTAGTCAATTTAACAATAAATTGTTGCAAATGTGAACTTAATAAAAATTGCTGTCCATTAAAAAAGAAATAATTTAACCTTTGAGTCCACAGTAAAGGCATGCTCTTCAAAATGAGCACTGCAAAGACGTGATGATCCTGTTGGTTTCCAGTCCTGCCGTTTTGTGTTCACCAGCCACTGCTTCAGCCTCGCTTTGTCACCTAAAGGGAAACTTTACAGAAATACAATAACATTGCTTACTGCCATTTGTCAAGTTTGTAAACAACACAAAGTTAATGTTTTGCGTTCAGTTTAATTCTTGCTTTGTTGCATAACAGGCTGAAGCCAAAACTCAATTCAAAGACAATCACAAAAAATACCTCAAGTGAATGAATATTCAAACTGTATAAATAATCTAAATCATTTCATCTTGTGAGTGATATGTCTTATGAACATCCTATCACAATTGAGGGATTTCTTTGCATGTAATAAAAATTTTAATATCATTGTGATTGATTAAGTATGTCATATGCAGCTGTCTTTCCATAACTAGTTACATTACTCATAGTTTTATCTCAATCTCATAAGTAACAGGGCTATCTATCTATCTATCTATCTATCTTGAAAACTTAAATAAGACATGATCTACCATGCTGCTGTAAATGATAATTGTCATTACACAGAAGTATACTTATGACTTATGTATGTTATTTGATAACATAAAATAAATAACAGTTATGCAACTTGTATAAGTAATCTTTTGAGCATGTCCTTCTATACACTTATAGGGTCTCGTTTTCTCGACGTTTTGTCCCATTAAAGACAGTTTCAGAGCTTAATCTTAGACAAATATCGTTATGTCACCAGAAGCTGTAATACTACTGCCGCTGTACGGAGGAGACTGAACCGGCGGTCAATCCTCAGCCAGAAAGCTAGGACGGTGCATCCGAAAGATGCATTTTAATTAAACCATACCTGACTTTAGCGCAGGCTGCTCTCGTTGTAACATACCCGAGTAAAACTGGTTGATCCATTACCAAAACTTCGACTCATTTACATGGCCTTGTTCTCATAAAGTGATGCAATATTAGGGGAATGACTTAAATGCGAATTAATTCCTTTAACATAATGACTTCATGCCTCGAGTTTTCATTTCATGCCCTGATACTCTGTGGTAGTATTTGGTTGCTAGTATGAATCTGTGTGATCGGTACGGTTTTTAATTCAAATTCAAAGTCACGTAGTCATAATATTGTTATAAAAAGAAGGCGGATTTTAAGGGGTTTCCTCATTGTTTAACTTCTAATAAAAACGCTTAAATAAGGCACAGAACTTACCGCTTGGTATCTGTAAGTAAACCCCATTAGCTAAATTAAACCAGACCGTTTAATGTTATGTAGCTAGCAAGCTGATGACTTCATAAAAAAACATAACTTACCGAAACAACTGCAAAGATCCCGATTTCACATGTCGGTTAACACAGTTTACTGCAGAACAACTCATTTTTCCAATGCAATAAAAGAGAAAAACGATGGAAAAATGTAATCCTCTTCTCCGCTGGCAAACCCGATCGGACTTGACGATGGACAAAAAAGAGCGATGCACAAGCAGCAAGTGCAAAGTGTAGAGAATGACGCAATTTCCTGTTTTTATAACTCCTTATAACTTTTTAAAATGGAGCTGCAGAGAGAAAAAAAGACCTGAACACAAACCAGTCTAATAATAACTACATGTCAACGTCGCAGTCGGGGGTGAGAAAAGTGTATTTTCTGTGAAATTAATTTCTAAAGGCCGTCCGCCGCTCCATTCACTTTGCTGGCAGAAGTGGGGTTTATGACTTGTACTGCAGCCAGGCTCTAGGGGGTGCTGTTCTCGGAGTGGCTTCACCCGGCGAGGAGACAGACGGCGTCCATCTTATATACAGTCTATGCTCTCACCTGAAATGCGCAGCTGTGCAGCGGCACGCAAAGCATTCTGGGATACCGACGGCAAAAAAATGCTAAGCGAGCTCGACGGTGCAGAAGTGCACTTAGCCCGATGCGGTCTCTGAAATGAGACACAGCCAAAGTTTACCGGCGGAAAATGACGAAAATGGATGACTTTTTTCTTTTTCTTCTCCTGTGGAAACTTTACCTGCTCACCATTGTGAAACTGAAGGGGTTTATGTACATCGCAGTAAGGTAAGACAGGTCTTGTTTTAAAGAGGAGGATGTCCTGATGTATTTTGATATTTAACAGTTGGGTGGAGTTACCTGTCGGCTTCTTCAGCTTCATCTTCTCTGCCGGAGTCGCTCACAGCGCGTGTAAAATGTTCACAAAGTGTTTATGGTCTTAAAAGTTATCAAAATATGTCTGTGAAAGACTCAAACACAACATTTTAGACATGCTGTAACCTCCTGTAGTAAAATCAGAAAAAAATATGTTGTTCCATGAAACTAGAGGTTGGAGATGACAGGGAGGGCTCATGACACGGTCTTACCCGCAAATAACACAAACAAAAAAAAAGATCGATTGTTGAACTTAAAAATCGATTTAAAAATCGTAAAACAAAAAAATCGCGATACTTATCCGAATCAATTTATTCTCCAACCCCTAGAAAGTATAAATGTTGATTGATTAGTGACCTGAATCGTCACATAGAAAGCTGTTACAGCGAGCCTACTATCAGTTTCTTCTTCTTCATCTGTTTTCTGTTTCATGCTCTTATTTTGATATTGGCTGGGTTGGAAATGGATCCCTAACCCCTATAGAGGCAACTACATGGGGGTTAGTGCCATTTTGAGGGGTGTCCAAAACCTGAGTGATCAATTCCAATGCCCCATATAGGCGACTCAAAATTTCCCATAGAGCGTTGCAAAATGTAGTGACTATCCAATAATCTCTCACCGGTGGTGGGCATCCCGTTATGCATTGCGTCTTGCGATGTAGAGTCTGAAACCTCCAGCAATTGAGTTCACGACATAGTCAACTATATAGTGAAACCCCATATGGGGGTTAGGGGTTAGGGATTGAGTGATTCATTTCGGACACAGCCATTTTCTCTGTCTTCCTTTTGCATGCATTATATAACTATGCTTTTATTTTGAAGTACGCCACATCTTTAAATGTCATCTCCTTTAGAAGCTGCTACAACAAGCCTGCTAGCGGCTGCTGCTTCTTCATTTGTTTTCTGTTTCATGCATTTATTTTGATGTTTTCTCTGTCTCGTCTTTGTATACATCATATATCTACGCTTTTATTTTGAAGTACGCCACGTCTGGTAGATCCTAACATACAGAACTGAATGAGAACAGTGGAAAAAGGTTAGAAAGTATAAATTTTAGATTGAGTAGTGATCTGAATCATCTCTCAGAAAGATGCTACAACGAGCCTGCTAGCAACTGCTGCTTCTTCTTCATCTGTTTTCTTTTTTCTTGTTATCACCGCTAACATTGCAACAGCCCTGCTAGCAAATCATCTTTTGTGATACTTGTCTGATTTGACCTTCAACAAACTGAGCTAACCCTCTGCTGGATGTGTGCAGACCATCTGATTTTGTAGGGAAAACATACAGATTTTCACTGCGTCTCTGAGAGACACACCGGGGCAGATTATGTGTTTTTAATCAAAACATGTCCTCCTGGAGTGCACCCAAACAGCTTAGAGTTGAAAAATGTATTTAACAGCCGCTCAAAAGGGCAAATCTGTTTCTCCAATAACCATAAGTGGAGAAATGATTTGCCCACAGCTGCAGTTTCATATTTATTGATTCTCAGTGACCTCAGTAATCTTGTTAAAGCTGCTGCTGCTGATTTCATAGTTTCAACACACAAAAAGCCAAAGAGTCCCCGTCTCGTTCACGGTCAGATGATCCGTCAGCTAAATGTGAATGAACTGTTATGGACTGTCAGGCAGGATTGAATGCTGTCACGAGGCCGAGCAGTGAGGCCGTGTGGTTTCAGAAAAAGGGATCAATCAATTGTGGCTCCTCGCCAGAGATATGGGCTGTTTATTCAGGGAGGGCGGAAATAAGATCGGCCTCCAGATATAATGGAAGAGACACAAAAACACTCAGAGGTAATCCGATTTTAACCACATTTCCATATGTGGGACCTTTTTACGGAGGAAGCCCTTAAGACTTTGGCTTCAACTCGACTCTGTAATGTGATTTTTCTCATCTTCAATTTCCAAACAGCTTTGTGTTAATTTTTTCAACATGCAGAGTGTTGTATCGGGCTGAGAGTTTCAGATTCACACTCTGCCTGCTCTCTCTTCACATTAACACCTATGCTACCTGGCTGTGTTAAAAAACTTGATTCTGATTGGTCAAGTCTCCAACATGTGTTATCTCTTGATGGTAAAGTGTCTTGATGGAAGTGAGAATGTGCATGTTTCGTCTCTGCTTGTTGACACTGCGGTAAAAACGTTAGTGAGCATTTGTGTCCAGACAAAAGGAGATAGCGGTGAACTTCAGGAAGAATCTCCACTGATGCAGTTCATCATTTCTTAATCAGACCGAGACGCTAAGGCAGAAGAACTACCGCGTCTGCAGTGCAAAATGATTAATATGGTGATTATTACTTTGAGGAAATGATAAAGAAATGATCATAAATGTTCTTCCTTGAGCTGTGTCACCCCGCTGTAGTCCATAATGGACTGGCCTGAGGTCTCACTACAAATAAGCGGCTGCTGGAAGAGAGTAGGTGAGTTGTGTTTAGCCTCTTTTCTAAAGAAATGAGTCAAAGTTAAAAAGATGTTTGGTGTCTAGTACTATGGCTGTGACCCTATATGTCCTGTTGATGAAGTTAGGTGCTGTTCTGGGCATTATTTGTGGCTATAGAGTGGCGTTTTGGTTGAGGTTTGTTTATGGCTCCTCAGACCGCTGTGTATTGCTATCATGCGGTCGTTACTAAAGTTGGTATAACTAGAGAAGCAAGCGGTCGGCAACATTCATCTCTGGAGGGGGGGTCTAACTCGGTGTAATAGTGTGTTTGACCCTAAATTAATTTTATGCCAGTATGTCCCTTTTAAGATCGTTGCTCCTGTGCAAACACCTTGATGGTTGTGTGGACGATAGGCTTTATGATAATGTTTTTTGCAAATAGATCCATTTATGTGACTCAACTTGACGTCTAAACTCAGAACATACTCTTATTTTCACTGAAGTTTGCAGAGAAATGGCGCCAACCCAAGATACCAAAAATATAATATTAAGTTTTTTAGCTAAAAAACAAAAACACGACACCACACAGTTCACTTTTTTCAATGCTTGAAGCTTTTAATTTTGCAGGAGATTAGAAAGGAGAGTTAAAACAACAGAATCGAGTTTAGCTCAAAGCATCATTTCCGCCACACTTTTTTATTTCAGCATTTTTAAGTAGGTCTGTATGAGTTATGTCAGTAGTAAGAATATTCGCAACAGTTGATGCAGGCGAGTTTAATGGAGAAACTTCCAGCAAGCTAGGCTGCAGCAGAAAGTGGAAGTCTACCTTCTATTTGAGATGATTTTTAGAGACTCTTTGGATGATTGCAGAGCGTCATCTTCTGTCACATAGTAGAGGCATGTAACTCATACAAACCCTCATTAAAAACATTGAAATATCCCTTTAAGGACATGAGACATCAGAGACAGTGCAGCTAATGTTTGTGTCACTTGTTGCTTCAGTCCTTATGCAGCGTTTCAGAAAGTCGAGAACAGAGGGGAGTCAGAGCGCTCAGGGTCCACACGGCGTCAAACACACAGATCGGTGTTTGTGTGATGTACAGGTAGGAGTCCTTACCCCTTAGCACAGATAGAAGGAATAGCGTACCAACAGTCGACATTATCCCAGCATCTACGATCTGTGAATATCAGAAACACAGGACAGGGAAAGGTTATAGAGGGTTAGATTACATTTGCAACATCACGTGTAAACAGGAATTATATGCTGTTGAAATATAGTAAATGTGTTATTTATTTACCGCTGTAATTCATTTGCAGACAATGCTGCACTGAAAGATTCAAGATAAAGTTGTTTGGCTCTCCGGGGCACCAGTTACTGTACTTAAAAGGAGAACCGTCTGTCCAGCGCCAAACATCATTCTGGAAAACAGAGAAGATTATATAAAAACATTGGTACATTGGGCAATACCATCACAGGATGTGCAAATTCAGTCGTGTTATCTGGAATGCTGAGTGCACTTCCTCATTGCCTTGGTAATCTGTGATAAACATCTGAGATCGCTTTGCAACAGCTCTGCGGTTTGAAGGGATAATCTGGCGTGAATTAAAGTTAGGGTCAAACACACCGTAACACCGAATTAGACACCCCCTTGAGAGATGAATGTTGCCGACCGCTTGCTTCTCTAGTTATACCAACTTTAGTAACAACCGCATGATAGCAATTCACAGTCGTCTACCACTCCACGTGCACACCACAACCCAACAGCCAATCTATATCAACAGTACATAGGGGTTTCAGCCATAGGACTAGCTACCAAACATCTTTTTAACTTTGCCTAATTTCTTTAGCAAAGAGACCTAACACGACTCACCCACTCTCCTCCAGCAGCCACTTGTTTATAGGGGGAGCCCTGACGAGTCGGCAACATTCATCTCTCAGGGAATGTCTAACTCAGTGTTACGTGTGTTTGACCATAACTTAAATTTACGCCAGAATATCCCTTTAAGCCTGTCTTGATCAACATCTCTGTAAGTGCACACTTTGCCGTGGTGATTCATGACATACCTCGGTACTATCAGTGCCTCCAATCCACACGTGTGGGTTCCAGTTGGCGTTCTCTTTTATCATAATTTTAAGAGCTATGTGCTCCGTGGATGACCGTATGGATGCCAGGTGACCTCCCAGTTGGATACAGTTTTGCTGAGTGAAGATAAACAGAAAAAATCTGTAAGTTATCAAACAGAAATTAACGTAGAATCCATATGTAGCTCATGTGATTGATTTCATACCTCTGCATCATCCCAAGACATCTTTTTGGAGATGTAGGCAAAAGAGCGGGAACCAATCTTTTTCCAAACCTCTGGGCCGCAAAACATGGAGAGTAAGAAGTATTACTGAGTACACTAGTTTACTTAACATGAAACGACACGACTGAAAATTCCCAAGAAAAAATGCATCAAGACCGAACCGCTGTTTGTGTTTGATAGACTCACCTTCAGACTCGGTCAGAGCCATCAAGGCGCAAAGAAGAACACAGAGAGCCAGGACCTTCATGGTGATGTTAAGGAGATGAGGCTGAGAAATCAGACAGAATCTAAGATCACCAACTCAATGAGACCAAACCAGGGTGTCAGGCCACTGAAAAAGGGAAGCACCAGCTTTTAAATACGATTTCTTATCTCATCATCTGTTAGAAAATAAGGAACTGAACTCGGGTTTACCAAATATGAACACAGAGATGACACTGTTAGCAGCGACCTGTGGTTTGATTGGATGCAGTTAACAGATTATGTTTAAGATAACATATCAGCTTTCTGCACATGTACAAACTAGCGCACAAAAAAAAAAAAAAAAAAAAAAACACATTTAAAGGCGGGGTAGTCAGGACCTGAGGAAGTTCCAGTTTTAAGGAGAAATCTCGAATGTAAACTCTACCCCTCCAACCAGTTTTCCCCTCAGCTCCTCCTCTCCCATCAAGCCCCGCCCACAAACAGACGCTCCTGCTCGCTCGTATCGTTCCAATTAAATTCAGATATAATGCAGATAAATACTTCAGATCTTTACAAATGGGGCCCAGTCAAGGTGAAAGTCAAAAGCATTGGTGCTACTGTAGATGCCAACAGACTACCAGCAAACACAATGTTTGCAGGACTTCTACAACTAGGATAAAGTGACATAGTCCAGGACCCGAGGGAGGACAGTTTAGCGATGGCGCTACAACACGCTACAGCAGGTCCGTTTGACAAGAAACACTTCTGTTACAGACACTTGTCTTACTTTGTTAAAGCGGTTTACCTGTCCAGCAGAAAGGTTACAGGGTCACCAAGATCCCCAAGCGTCCCCCATCGTTTATGTTGACCCGGCTTTTTAGCTCTTGTCCGGTCTACCTCCGTTTTAAGCGCCCGTTATTCCTCCAGAGTCTCCGGTATTTACTTTGTTTTATTGCTTGTGTCGGCAGTCATGGCTAAAGGAGGATTCAGACAATTTTCCGTACTTTCTGGTTGGTTTCTACTGTCCGATATTGTAGCACGCTAACTTTGTTTAGGCTTGCGCACGTTATTCAAGGATGTGGAGCGTGCCTCACAACACGAGGGAGCAGTGTTGCCAACCTAGCGCCTTTGTGGCTGGATTTAGCGACTTTTCAGACCCCCTAGCAACTTATCTTCAAAAGTGCACCTAGTGACAAATCTGGCAACTTATTCTGGAGTTTAGAGCCTCCAACATAAACGCAGGAATCAATGTTACTCTTCTGAAAGGGTAGCTGGTGTGCATCAAAAACACAGACAACCATCGGAAGACTCCTCCTCCTCCCGGGGGTCAGTGGCATCAGTGGGTTTGACGGAGAAATTATGTAAATTGGGCGATGACATCATCTAGCAACTTCTAGTGACTCTTACTAGACCCTCCAGGAATCTGCAGACAAAAAGTTTTGACTCTGCAGAGAACAATCCTGATTCTGCAGGGAGCAATTCTTGATTCCGCGGGATTCCGCGGCTTGATGTTATCATTTTGATATAGTTCATAATATTATGATCTTGGACATATGGGACGTTACTCAGGTGTCAAAAACACTAACAGCCGTCCGGCTTTTTCCAAGATGTCTGTGGCGGTAGTCATGGTTACAACAACAGAACATGTGGGTCAACTCGCTGCTCTGCGCGTCCCGTCCGTTGTCTGTATGGCAGGCATGTATCTCAGCCAATCAGCGTTAAAGAGCAGTGTCCGCCTTAGAACCAATCAGGTCGGGGAGGTAGAGAACAGCTTTGTTTACAGTCAGAAAGAGCGGGCCGCTCAAAAATGTTAAAATGTTGACTAAACAGACATAACAAAACACAGCGATATCGTGATATTAAATGTCATCAATAACTAATAACTATTGACTGATATTAAAAGTTTTTTTGTATAAACACCACAAAAAAGATGCTTCTTTAACGGAATCCTGCCTACCCCACCTTTAATTTAGAAAAAAAAAAAGCATTAATATGGTCTTAACTTAATGCTGTCACAAGGCTGAGCAGTAAGGCCGTGCTGCTTGAGAAAGAGGGATCTTTAGGAAGACTCTCCACTGATGCAGTTACGATTGTTGCTGAGCCTCATGTTAATGTTGTCTGCAGGAAGATCCGTTTATGTGACTAAACTCAGAACACACTCGTATTTTCACTGAAGTTTGCAGAGAAATGGCGCCAACCCAAGATACCAAAAATATAATAAGTTTTTTAGCTAAAAAACAAAAACACGACACCACACAGTTCACTTTTTTCAATGCTTGAAGCTTTTAATTTTGCAGGAGATTAGAAAGGAGAGTTAAAACAACAGAATCAAGTTTAGCTCAAAGCATCATTTCCACCACACTTTTTTATTTCAGTATTTTTAAGTAGGTCTGTATGAGTTATATGTCAGTATTAAGAATATAAGCAACAGTTGATGCAGGCGAGTTTAATGGAGAAACTTCACACAAGCTAGGCTGCAGCAGAAAGTGGAAATCTACCTTCTACTTGAGATGATTTTTAGAGACTCTTTGGATGATTGCAGAGCGTCATCTTCTGTCACATACTAGAGGCATGTAACTCATACAAACCCTCATTAAAAACATTGAAATATCCCTTTAAGGACATGAGACATCAGAGACAGTGCAGCTAATGTTTGTGTCACTTGTTGCTTCAGTCCTTCTGCAGCGTTTCAGAAAGTCGAGAACAGAGGGGAGTCAGAGCGCTCAGGGTCCACACGGCGTCAAACACACAGATCGGTGTTTGTGTGTTGTATAGGTGAGAATCCCTAATCCCTAACACAGATAGAGGGAATTTTGCCCCAACATTCGAGATTATCCCAGCATTTACCATCTGTGAATATCAGAAAAACAGGACAGGGAAATGTTATCGACGGTTTGATAAAATTTGCAAAATCACGTATAAACAATTTTCTAAATTGCATGTCAGTAAAATAAAAAAACTGTCACATAGCAGCACTTTGCACAAACACATCACCTCTATGCATTTTAAAGTCAGTAACTGTTTTTATTTACCGCTGTAATTCATCTGCAAACAGCGCTGCCATGTGGCATAACCCCCGCTTGGCTCTTTGCCGCACCAGTTACTGAACACAAAAGGAGAACCGTCTGTCCAGCGCCAAACCTTACCCTGGAAAACAGAGCAGATTACATTAAAAACATCAGAACACAGAAACGTTGTTTCTTCATTTTGCACTGGAAACACGCATATAACCGTCACTATACGAACGGTGACAAAGTCTGGTAGCAGAAGACTCCTGCAGACGCCGTGTCATACTACAGCTGCAGACACAGAGTGAGAAGCTCCTCCACACCGGAGCAGACAGGCAGAGCAGCTCTGTGTCACTGACCACCCACACCTTAGACTTTTTTGACTTTTTTAAGAATAAAAAGAAGAACTTAATTAATCTCTGAAGGGAAATTCAATTGTCTGTTGTCTCTAAAAGTTATCTTCTATTTACACAAGAGTTATCTTGTCTGATGGCTGTTGGTACAAAAGATCTTCTGAGTCTTTCTGTCCTGCAGTGAAGAGAGAGGAGGAGCTGTCCACCACCATTGGCCCTTTGGTCCATCAAGGTGTTATGAAGTGGTGTTAGTTTATCGTTCTCTCTTTCGTCATTTCGCTGTTTTTGTCCCCCCCCCCCCCTTCATCATTATTTTTTTCCGCTCCTCAAAACTAAAACCCTGTTTCCTCCTCCTCCCACTGTGGTGACGCAAGTGTGCTGTGTCACCTTGAAAATAATCAGTTCCTCAATCGTTTTTTGTAATTGAGGTACTCGAGGGATTGTTTCAGCCCACATCACAATTACTAAAGAGAAGCATCTAAAGAAAAAAAGGAAATGTGGGGAGCAGAGAGCGGGGAGAACATGCAGCAAATGATCGACCAGAAAGACGGGGAGCTCCTACATGTAGGGCGCTTGGACTGCTACGTCATCGGCACCTGGCTCCAGCTTTGTTTTCTTGATCAACATTAATGACATACCCTGGAACGATCAGTGCCTCCAATCCACACATTTGGGTTCCAGCTGGCGTTATCTGTTATCAGAGCTTTAAGTCCTATGTGCTCCGAGGATGAATGTATGGATGCCAGGTGACCTCCCAGTTGATAACAGTTTTGCTGAGTGAAGATAAACAGAAAAAATCTGTGAGTTATCAAACTGAAATTAACGTAGAATCCATATGTAGCCCACGTGATTGATTTCATACCTCTGCGTCATCCCAAGACATCTTTGTGGCGATGTAGGCGAAATAGCGACAACCGATCTTTTTCCAAACTACTGGACCGCAAAACATGGAGAGTAAGAAGTATTACTGAGTACACTAGTTTACTTAACATGAAACGACACGACTGAAAATTCCCAAGAAAAAATGCATCAAGACCGAACCGCTGTTTGTGTTTGATAGACTCACCTGCAGACTCGGTCAGAGCCATCATGGCGCAAAGAAGAACACAGAGAGCCAGGACCTTCATGGTGGCAGTAGATGGAAGATGAGGCTGAGGATTCAAACAGAAGTCTGAGATATCACCAACTCAACGAGACCAAACCAGGGTGTCGGGCCACTGAGCAAGGAAAGCACCGGCCTTTAAATACAACTTTCCATATCTCACCATCTGTAAGAAAACGAGGAACTGAACTCAGGTTTACCAAATATGAACACAGAGACAAAACTGTCAGCAGTGAGGGGTGGGGAAGTTCATGTATGAACCCTATAGAGTAGCTTATTTACCATTTATGGGTTATATGTAAGAGAAAATTCAACCATACAGAGAGTCGGTAAACTCTGAGTCAGTTTGATCTGGTTTAACTTTCTGCTCAGACTTTCGATAAAGACGCTCACCATCGAGCGTTTGAGCTCCTGAAAGTAAGTTAGTGAAGCCAAAACTAATATTAATATAACTCACAGTGGAGGAGAGGTGAATTTTTAATCAGTTTGTCATTGTTTGACTTTCAGTCCGTGTAAGTTCACTTTTTCAGATCATTAATTGTTCAAAATCTCATATCAGCTTTTTTCACATGTACAAACCAGAACACAAAAAAACACATTTCACTTAGAAAAAAAACTTTATTATGGTTTTAACTTTATTTATAAATAATACTCATAAATAGTCTTCCGTTTAATTGTTACGGCCTGCTTCGATTGAAAGTCCAGTTAAACTCTTTGATTTTAAAAACGTAATCCTCACTCATTTCGACATTTCGATAGTAAGGCCAAAAGAGAGGAAAAAAAACGGATGGCTGTGTCGATACTCGATCTGTCCTGGAAACCTGATTTTGTTCTGCGCATGTGCGAAATGTACGTCACTTCTTCTCTTCGTATTTAAATTTATTTTACGGCAGTTAGTTGTTACTATTGCTACCTACCTGATCCGTAATGCGCTAGTGCAAATTTGCGTCACCTTAAAAACTTTATTTAAACTACCGATCGATTTCAGAGACAAGCTGGCGATGTGACAGGCTAACTAGCAGGAGGCTCCAGGACTAATGCCGAGGAATTCACCAGAGCTCCTGCCCAGCACGGTGAGACATTTTGGGCCTCAGAGAGTGCTGCCACCCCGTCAAAGTTATGGTATTTTATAAATTAAATTAATTAACAAGAAGCCAGAACACATTATGGACAATGAATTTCAGCGTTTTTATACAGCTTTGCAATGTCGACAATGAAAAATTCACATTCATTCAAGCCTATTATAACTACGTTGAAATTTTACAATTATGCTAGTAGCAGGAACCTTTAATCAAGAAACTGGACGCCATTCTCTTGCTTTCAGGAGAGAAGCATGTCACTGGTGATGAACTGAAGTAGGGTGACCATACGTTCTCTTTTACCTGGACATGTCCTATTTTAGGGCGCTATCCGGGCGGTCAGGGTTTGTCCAACTTTGTCTGGGGAAGTTTATAAAATCCTTCAAATGTCTGTGGTTTCGTACGCAAGTTTGGATTTTGTGTCACGTGGACTTACTGAGTTAGAAGCGCGTAAAAGATAATTGATCCGACGGGAAAAACTCTCAAATTTAACTTTGTGAGACTCTGTGACTCCGCCCCAGCGTAGTCGTGTCCTCTTTTTGGGGATTCAGAATATGGTCACCCTAAACTGAAGCATCCAGTCTGACTGAAGCGAGCTCGCTGATGCTGAAGCTGTCGAACAAGTACTGAAGCTGTCGCAAAGATGGCTGGTAGAGGAAGTGACGTACGTTTCGCACACGCGCAGTACAAATCGGGTTTCCGGGATGGATCAGGTAGCGACCGGCTGCACCTGACTATAGATTGTAGCTGTCACCGTGTCACGTACTCTGCAGTCGAGAAGTCGCAAGAAGAATCAGTGGGATCACGAGTGCCCCCTATCATGAGGCAGGAAAACTGCGCGCCTCACTTAGAGCCTTTTTGCCGTTGTTTTATGATCGCTCAGCACAAGAAACATGTTTCACAAATACAATTGTTGACAAAAACACTGTACGTCGTATACATCAGCTGAACTGTGTAGATTTAGTTGATATTGTAAATGTGTTTGAAAATTTTAATAATGACATACAGAGAAATAGCTAAATGGTCCCACTGCACAGCATGCAAATACAGTTAGCCAAGTCATTGCGTAATCCAGGCTGAGGCCCATCTGGGACTGATGCATGTAGTTGAGAGCAGGCAGGTCCACCTACACCGACCTACAGCATGTTTTAGTTCAGGGACTCCCAGAAAAGACTGTATCAGTGACTCTAATGGGACACGAAGAAGGAGGATGGGATTCAGGGATGCTCTCCGTCCTTTCAGCTGTTTGTTAGAAAGAATAAAAACGTGAGAAAACCTGCAATATGCTTAACACTCTTCAGTAAAACCGTGACAGTGACTTAGCAGAACAAATTTCACAACATAATCTCTCTGCTCATCTTTTGTGCTTGTTCTTAACTTTTCAACTTCTCCAAACGAAAGCTCTGTTGCAACGGAACATCGGTTATCAGGATGACCAGAAAGTCAAGTCATTTTAGGAGGAAGACGATGTAACAGTCGAAGGTCACAACCCTGCCTTAAGATATAGATGTTAGTGAACCATAGGTCCATGTAAAGGTTTTTATTTTCAATCAATCAACTTTATTTCTAAAGCACATTTAAAAGAACCACAAGGGTAGCCAAAGTGCTGTACAATGACACATAAAAACAAATAAAACAATCAAAGAACAAGATAAAGCGAGCAGAAATACATTAATGCAAAAGAATAAATAAGTATGTAAATAAGCAGGCTCACGGCAAGTGTATTGTAATTCAGTGTGTTTTGCTGAAACATGGAGTGTGTGGGAGCAACAATGTGGACTCCTGAACGGGTTCCTGGTCTTCATGGACCTGAGCTGAGGTCAGGAGGTGATCGCAGTGTTTTCAGGGTGCAAAAATGACATCTTGAATTTTTGACATTGTTGGAAACTTTGTGTCCATCCACACCTACTCATTCTTGATAACCACCAGTTTTCACCGCATCCAGAACGGCTCCGATCTGGAACAGCGGCGATTTTTGTCCGCCAATTCCTACTGGATCCATTTGTGAGCCGAATTTCGTGGCCGATTACAGAAAGTGGTAATCGCACGATAACGAGTTGTCTCTTAGCCACAGAGGCTAACCATATGAGCAGTAGATTGCATCCTTCCAGAGAAGGAAATCTACTTCTAGACTACTTCTAGTCATCGGAGTGAAGTGACCTTTCACTTGTTCGTCTCCGCCCGTTTGCATGGTGTGAAATACGATCCACCTGAAACACAGTGTTTTATTTTGAAAAGAAGACGGATGTTTTATTTTGTGTCTGTGCCCGACTTCCTTTCCAGCACGGGTTAATCTGTGCTGAATTTATCCGGCATGCTCCGGCGTTAGAAAAAAATTGAACTTTTGCGATCTGCAGCGGACTTGAATGGCTATGATCAGCAGATACGGCGTTTTTGTAGCCGTTCTGTATTCGGTGGAAATTGGGCGTAAGTGACTTGGTTTCCTTTTCTCTTAAGATAATTTAGACGTAAGAACCACACAGATCGGCCTCAGCACTGACTCTCAGACTCTGTTTTCAGTCCTTGTTATCTTGCCAAAGCTGCTCCCAAACGTCTACAGGAGTCTGGCTCTGATTTCCCACAGACAAACACAAAACAACAAATGTCCTGCAGGTCTCCAGTGGGGTTTTGGTTCGTGTTCAGTCGGAGCAGCTTCTGATCATCCTGAGCGTCCCCTCTGAACCCAGCAGGTCATGCAGGCTGCAGTGTTTACTCTGACTGTGAGGATCCTGTTTACTTTGCAGTTAATTTAATGACAGTGGCGTTTTTTTTTTTTATGGTGTTTTTGTGTGTATGTTCCCTTCCCATGAGGATAAAGACAGTGCAATTAAAGATGTTCAAATTTGAAAGTAAGCTTCTTTAATCTAATTATGCAAAATTGGATTTTCATTAGCTTGATCTAATTTGTTTTTATGTGGGTTTATCATGGTGACAGTAAGCCTGGAGATTATGCAACAGTTGCTCTGAATTAAATTACATAAAGCTTTGAAATCCAGGTGTAGAAAATCATCTTTATGAACGCGTTTTGCATTTTGAAAGAGAGGAAAATTGTCTGTAGCACAATTTCAGACACAAAACGCTCAGTTGAAAAGAAAGAGAGCACTAAAAACAATAAAATAACAGGAATGCAGCATTGCTTAATAGCGGGAAATTGGTTTAATGATCCTGTTGCCGTGATAGAACTGAAGAATGATGCAAATAAAGACAGGAGGAGTCAGACAAACCATGTATGCAAATTTGGCAAGCTTGCAGTCGGCCTATTATTGCTCTAGTCAAACAGTTATTGCTGTGAAAATGAAGCTTTTCATCATTTCTCAGTGCTATCTTGGCATTTGGCAACTTGCTAGAAAATCCAATGGGAGCAATAGAAATATCTGCAGAGCAATAAAACCATGATTTAGTGCAGGGGGAAGTGACGGCCGTATAAATCTATTATCCCATCATGTGTACTAATACAAAAATTCATTATTCTTGCACTGAACTCATGAACTGCTTGATTGAAATATCTCAATTAGGCTTGTTTCAAAAATCTGCACTTTGGGAGCAGAATCTCATTTCTGAGACAAAGGTGTGTGGAGAACCGTCTACATTTTAATAAATTAGATGTATGGGCTGCATGGGGACACTTAAAGGTTAGTGGCTTTATTTAACCAAATGTGCAGCAGCTGCAGATTGTCTAGAATGTACCTGCATGAAAAAGACGATTCAGGGCCTTCAGATAGAACTAGAAATTCATTCCCACAGTTTATGAGCCGTGTCGGTGGGTCGAAGGCTGCACGATTTCGGTGAAAAATGAAATCCAGATTTTTTTTCTCTGGAAAGTTGATTTTCAATTTTTTATTCAGTGACAACTTCACCAAACTTCAAACAGCACAAAAGACAGAGGAAGAGTACAGAGCATGAGTACGAAGGTTATTTTGGTCGAACACGTGCAGGCACCATGAAC